TAAGGGTGTGTGTTTGTGAATGTAAGGGGGTGTGTTTGTGAATATAAGGGTGTGTGTTTGTGAATGTAAGGGGGTGTGTTTGTGAATATAAGGGTGTGTGTTTGTGAGTGTGTGTGTGTGTGTGTAAAAAAGCAATCTCTGTTTTGTCTGTATGTTTGGATGTCCGATCATAAGTCAGGAAATTTTGATTGGGGAAACTCTCGGGAAAGTTCTTAGCTTAGATTTGAGATTCTAAGATGGAGTGAATCCACTTTTATAGGGAGTAATCAAAGACTTTGCTAATTAGCAAAAGAAAAATAGCTCAAGTCGTAGTTTACGACGGAGGGAGTTACTAAAGAGCACCCTTGGGCAACACTGGATTTTCTAAGCTATAAGTATATATATATATATATATATGTAAAAAATATATTAAACAAATTAGAACTGGTATATCTGGGGAAAGGTTAAATCTGAACGAAATTCTTCGCATTTTCCGGTGGCCCTCCTGACTTTTTATAAATACATTTATCATTAGAAATTAACAAATGCAATACAATATTAATTTGAAAAAAAGAAGAAGAACGAATAAAAAGAACATGAAATTAAGATCTATAGTAGGGTGAATAGTAAAGGGGAAAATAAGAAAAGGAGGAACCCAGCACTAAACAATTAATCTACTTCTATTGACTATATTATGTTTACAGAATATGTGACAAGACTTACAAATTACATGAGTATATCTGACAGTTCTTGTTTTTACATTGAAATTCCTTTAATTTATAAACAAGATTTTTTTTCATGTTTGATTTCAAACTAAAAAACTGATAACGCGCACATTTTTTTAATTTTGATTGCACTGAAAACCAAGATGTGCACGCTCTCACGCCAAAATCAAGCAGTATTTTTCCAAGTACTCCTTTTGTGGTTGCATTTAAAGTCGAGTCTTTCTAAAAATATGATTACTGACTTTTAAAGAAAATATTATTGGAATAGATGTTCAAGGGTTTTATTCTTACTAATTATCGTTTAAACTTTAAATCTACAAGTGGAGCAAACATTCCATAAAAGAATTTTTCCAAAATAAGAAACATTGTTTGTCAAAACTATTAACAAATTATAAAGATTAAAAACTGTCTGAATAAATTTCATGAAGTATAAATATTTAGACCAAGATAAATTGTATTTTTTTAATGTGCAACTTTTTTACTCTGTCAAAACTCAGTCAAAAGCTACAAAAAATCATATGACAAATCGTAAATTTTTAAAGATACAATGAAAAAGTTTAAACTTACGAAGAATGTGAGTTTTATCTTTTAGCCATTTATATGCGAGACTGTAAAGACGACTTAAAACTCTTCCAGTATGAAGTACCAATTTAAAATTAAGTCTCTGTTTTAATTTTGGTCTTTCAAAGGCTTACTAAATAATTTGTGGAACGAAATCAAGTTTATACTTTCAGGAAATTATGAGTTTTAGGAAAGAAGCAATATGAGTATGTTGTTTCTGAAGTCTCATCCTTTGTGGGTAACCCAGTAAATAAAAAAGGGAAGACAATTAAAATGTAGCTTTTTAGATTTCTTGGTTTTTTGTTGTTTTTTACATTATTGCTTTCAGATTTTGCCCTTATCAGAAATACATGTTCAAAGTCCGAATTTAATGAATTTGAGCCGCCTCTCAAATCCGCCAAAAATCGGTTTCAATTGAGCGTCGTCTTAAATCTTGAAACATTAAATACAATTTTAAACGAAACCAACCATATTTGATCCGCGTCTAAAAATTAAGCCGCGGCTCAAATTCTTTAAATCCGGCCCAAATTTTTTGTGGGACCTCACTTGACCCAAGAAAGGTTTATGGATGCTCAAAATTACAAAATGTTATCTCCAAAATGGGAAAATAGGGATTTCTTACACATTATGTACAGTGACGTCACGACGCCATAGATGAATGGCTTTGTAAACAACCAGCACTAGCAGTGGATCAGAGAACATTTTCTGTAAATTAGATTATTTGGTTTTGGAAGACGACATTGCAAATTCTTACTCAATGATCCAGAATTAGAGTTACTTCTATGGGTTCTTGCAGATTGCAAAGAATCTATTGGAAAATAATTGCTACATTGAAAATTTTTAAACTGGCATAATCTGGAAATTAACAATGTATGCAATTTTAAATATAGACTGCTTTGTAACTGCTTACATTCTAACTTTGAAAAAGATTTTATAGAGTAGATGAATATATTTCTAATATATTAACTTGCAGAGACATCTAGTCACTCCTGTATGCCGAGTCCATTGGCGCCTGATCCAATCAAGGTTCAGTCATGTGTAGTATACAATTTTAAAATGAATTTAAAAAAAAGCAAGCAAGCAAAAGAAAAATAAATTCGATAATTCTGATTTCTGACAAACACCAATAAAGAGATGGAAAAAAATCACACATACATAAATAGTCAGTGCAAATCAAGTATTTTTTTTACCACTTTTCAACAATATTAGTGTTTTGAACTATTAAACTTCTTATACATTCTGAATCCTGTAATTTCTGTTTTTTTTTCCGAACATTTAATCTTTTTAAAAATTTGATTTGTTTATTCTGCATGGCTAAATAAATATTTACGTTTGTGATTGCAGAGACCACCATAGTGCTGACAATTTAAGATAGAATCTAAAAAATAAAATAAAAACATAAAAATAAAACAGAATTTAGTGATGTGTCTGAAAACAACAAGACAGGGATGGATTTTGTGTACTTAATTAGTTTTATACATACAGTGAATCCCAGATATATGAATACAAAGCAAGAGGTTTTTATAATGTCGTATAACATTGTTAAAATTAATTCGAAATGTAAGGAAGACGATTTTTCCGACTCAAATTGCCGTAGCCTTTTCTCTAGATGTATGTGTACTCAAGATCCATTTCCTCCTCATGTAGTGCCCTCATGTCGAATCTCCGCCCATCCCAGCTTCCGGTATTCAGTCATGTTAGGACAGTTGAACTAGTAACAGCTCCGACACAGGGAGCCTCTTGACTCCTTTATGATGATGACGCAGATACTCAATTAGCAGCAGACAGGCTTACCCGAGGGTTCCCAGTTTATCATGCACTCCACTTCCAGAGACAACATAATCGCTCAAATCCAGCATGATAAAGCTGCGATCTCTGCCTACTAGGTTGGATAAGCCCTGTTGCCCCAGTTCCTGTTGATCTGCTCCACCAACATGAAGCTCTACAACACTCCCATGAAGTACCATCAAATATCCATCCATAATTCCTTTGTTAATTTCTAAATCAACCAATTTTAACTCCGCCTTAAATGCAAATATTTCAAAACACTCGTTTTTTTTAATAAATGTTAGAAATATCCATTTTAGATCTCTTTATTTTATTATAGTGACTTTTAAAGTCAACAAACATATATAAGATCAAATGCCGCAGAAAAATGATTTTAATATTAATATATCAATTGCATTCATATATCTGGGATTCACTGTACATAGTTCAAATAAAGTATTATCTGGATGTGAAATACTTTTTAACATTTTGTGAATATAATTAAAGAAATTTTACATGCAGAGAAAAAAAATACGATAGCAATTAAACTTTTAGGAAAAATTCAAAGCCCTGACTTTCAAGACTAATGCATCAATGAATAAATTCGAATGGAATTGGAAACTTCTTTATGAGCACTATATATGCTATAGTTTCAACTTTGAGCATTTATCTGCTTAAAATAAAAACAATAACAATATAACAAAAAATTCACGGACTTATATTTCTTCGTGTGTTTTTTAAATCAATTACGAAAATCAATTTTTTGTGGACACATTGTTTTTAATTCTAAGCGTCCATAACCTTCCCTAGGATCATTGAGTTGCCTTAAAAAATGTTGGATCCGATCGGGTCCAACATTCATACGTTTATTGGATACAAACAAACAAACAAATACCTAGACAGACACCCAAGCAAAGTATGTATATAAATAGATAAAGGAGTTCACCGATCAAGTGGCTAAGGATTTTATTTTTCAATACTTAATAAAACTTTTAAAATTAAATTTTTAACAAGGAACCTTTTTCAATAAATTAAAGGGACTGTATAGACCTAATTTCAAGTTCACAACATTACCCTCTATAGAAACATCTGTTGCGTTGCGTTCAAACTGTACAGTGTACACTACGTACATTCAAATTCATTTCATGTAACGGGCCGAATTTCAACTAGCCAAGCAGTACAGTACAAACACAGGACTGTACGCAAAATGAATAATCCTCTTCACCATAAATTTATGTGCATCGTACATTCCAATTTCACGGCATTTTGAACACTATTTGAGAGTAAACACACAGAGTTATGTGGCCTTGACGATCATTTAAAAGTTTAAAGGCTACTGTTGTAAATCGGGCTCGGCCATCTTTGCATGGAAAGTCACTTAGAATTACGGTCTCTGCGAGGATAAATAAATGTTGCTATTTAGCATCAAAACAAACCAAAATAAAAGTTTAATTATACAAGTTTTAAATAACAATGTACTAAAAGTTGCCAAGATTTAATGTTCATAATATACATTTGAATAAAAGATGTTTTAATTAA